AAATATCTTTTTGGGAGGTTTTAAATTATGAATTCAATTTTCATAATGGTTATAGGGTTATCAAATTATCTATTTTCATATTGGATGAGTTGTAGTAGTTTGTGTTTTTCGAGGAATGGGTCCATTTCGTCTAAGGCGCTATGTTTATGTGTGTAGACTTGTTTGTTCCCTTATGAGGTCTGCAGGGTCTGTACTGATGTCCCCTGTTTCGTTGCTGTTATTGATAATTTGTGACTGGTCTTGCTTTTTCATTGTCAGTCTTGCTAGAGGTTTGCCAATTTTACTGATCTTTTCAGGAAAGCAGCTTTTGTTTTCACTGATTCCTCTATTTTTTAAATTTCAATTTTGTTGATTTCTGCTCTTTATTATTTCCTTCCTTCTAGTTGCTTTGGGTTTATTTTGCTCTCCTTTTCCTAGCTTCTTCATGTGGGAATTTAGATGATTGATTTGAGACTTTTTCTAATGTAAGTATTTAGTGCTAAAAGTTTCACTCAGGGCAGCTTTAACTGTGCCCCACAAATTTTGATATGCTGTATTTTCATTTTCACTCAGTTCAATGTATTTTTTCCCTTGGATTCTCTTTGACCTGTGGCTTGTTTAGAAGTGTTGTTTAAGTTCCAAGTGTTTGGAGACTTTTCTTGTTATATTTATGTTACTGATTTCTAGTTTGACTCCACTGTGATTGGAGAACATACTCTGAATGATTTTGACCCTTTTCATGTTGCTGAGTTTTATTTATGTTCCAGGATATGGTCCACTTTAATTGGATGAAGATGCACATGTTTAGGAGGGTAATTGGGATGATGGCAATGTAGAAACTTCTGTCAGTTTCTGCTTCTCATATTTGCAGCCCTGTTGCTTGGTGTGTATATATTTAGGATTGCTATATCTTCTTGGCAGATTTACCCTTTTATCATTATGTTACGTCCTGTCCCTGGTAATTTTGTTTGTTATGAATACTAATTTATCTGCTATTATGATAACCACTGCTACTTGTCTTTAATTAATGATATATCTTTTTTTATCCTTTTACTTCAACTTGAAAGCTGGAGCGATTTTCTTATAAACAGCCTATGGTTGGGTCATGCATTTTTAATCCACTCAATCAATGTTTGTCTTCATTGGTATATTTAGCCCATTTATATTTAATGTAATTATTGATTTGTTAAAACTTAAACTGCTATTATATCTTTTTGTTCTATTCTATTTTTTTGTCTGTATTCTTTTTCCTGCATTCCTTTAGGTTATGTTCACTGGTTTTTACAAATGCATTTTGATTTATCTGTATTGTTTTTGAGTGTATCTCTTGATAACCTTTTTAGTAGCTGGTATAGATAGTACATACATTATATATATATATATATATATAAAACTATCACAGTTTACTGGTGTTATCATTTTACCATTTTGAGTGGGGTATAGAAACCTTACCTCCTTTTATGGTTTTCCCCATTTATTATAATTATTTTAAATATTTCCTCTACGTATATTTAGAAGCACATCAGACAGTGTTATCATGTTTGCTTCAACTGTCAAACATAATTTAGAAAGCTCCGAAGAAGGAAAGCTTATCGTATTTACTCACACCTTTACTTTTCATGCTCTTTTTCCGTCTTGATGTTCCAAGTTTCTTCTATCATCACCTTTCTATTTAGAGAAGTTCATATAGCAATTCTTTTGGGGTAGGTCTGCTGGCAAAGTATGGTCTCATTTTCATTTATCTGAGAATGTCTTCATTTCCCTGTCATTCCTGAACAGTGTTTTCACGAGGTATCCGGATTGGTAGACTTTCAGGATTCTGGATTGACAGCTTTTTCTTTCAGAACTTTCATGTGGCCTCTGTGGTTTCTGATGAGAAATCCTCTGTCATTTGAATTATGTTCCCCTCATAGGTAAGGTGTCATTTCTCTGGCTACTGTTAACATTTTCTTCTTTGCATATGGTCTTAAGAAGTACAGTTATCATGTGCCTTGGAGGAGGTTTGGGTTTATCGCATTTGGGGTGCTCAGCTTCTGGAATCTTTAGGTTTATGTCTCTTGCCAAAACTGAGAAATTTTCAGCCATCATTTTTTTGAGTACCTTTTTAGCCCTGCTTTCTTTCTCCTCTCCTTCTGGGATTCTGATGACATGAAAGTTAGATCTTTTGTTATAGCCCCACAACCCAGAGGCTCTGTCCCTTTTTTTTTAGACTGTCTTCTCTCTATTGTTGAAATTGGGTGATTTCTATTGTCCTCTCTTCCAGATCACTGATTCTTCTCTCTGTCCCCTCCATCCTTCTATTAAGTGCGTGCAGTGAGCTGTTTATTTTGGTTATTGTATTTTTAAATTATAACATTTTCACTTTTTTAAAATATTTGTGTTTTTATTGAGGCTTTTCCCATTGTTTCATTTGTCTCCAGCTCACGAATGTTCACTTATGTGTTTCTGTCACGGCTGCCTTATAGTCTTTGTGAGATAAGGCTGACATCTCAGGTTTGGTGTGTGCTGACTGTCTTTTTTCCTTCAGTTTGAGGTTTTCTTGGTTTTGGTAAGAGTGGTTTTCTGTTGAAACCTGGGCATTTTTGTATTATGTTATGAGTCTCCAGATCTCATTTAAACTTGTGTTTTAACTGGCTTTTTCTGGCTCTGCTCTGCTGGGGTAGGGGCTCTGTTACTGGCAATGGAGGTCGAAGCCCAGGTTCCCCACCAGGTCTCTGCTGGCACCTGAGGGAGGGTTCTTGTCCTCACTGCTGGGCAGCCGGTAGGTGGGAGTCTGAACTCCCCACACGGTCTCCACTGGCACATCAGGGGGTGGTTACCACCCAGTGGGGAGGGAAGTCCCCCTCCCCACTTGGCTGCTCTGATGACACTGGCAGAGTCACTCTGGCCTCACAAGGGAGGATGCCCAGGCTCCCTCTCGGCCTTTGCGGTGTTTGGTGGGAGTGGAGCTGTACTGTCTGCAATGTGCTAAGTCACTTCTCTCCGGGCCCTCTAACTAGAGAGAGGTAACTTCAGCTGGGCCTTGTTGGCACCAGCGTTGGTGGCTGATTCAGTTCCAAGTCTGAGATCACAGCCCAAGGGAAAACCCCAGGGGGCCCAGCACCTGTTTCTTGGGTCCCTGGATCCCTAGCCAGTCTTCTTTCCACACTGCACAGCCTTCCACACATATAGTTTCCAGGGATTGGCTGTACCTGGTGGGAAAACTGTCTTCTCATCTTCCAGTCCCAGACCCTCTCTTCCCAGGGTTTTACCTCCTCTGACTGGCCTTGGAGAGAACTTCGGGAAGGATGTAGGCCCCCAGACCTACACATTCCTTTGTTTTTCTATCCAAGTGCCCAGTTCCTGCCTGGTCCCAGGAAAGCTGAGAGATCTGGGCTGGGGCTCAGGGTTCCCCTCACGGCCCGTATACACCACCTCTATCAGGTGGCCACCTGTTGCAATTGAGGCCTCCTCACAGACCTCAGAGTTGGTACAGCTTAGACTTCTGTGCTCTTTAGATAAAAATATTACTGAAGTTCTGTTATTTAAATTGTAAAAATGATTTTTTTTCACAGAAAGTTCCTTTTGCGCTCGTGATTTTTTCTGTTTCCTGGTGGATGTTGGCGTGAAGACCATCCCTTAGGGGATGATGTGGTTAAACCACGCCCGTTTTCTGAGCCAGCAGTGCCAGATGTTATGCTCCTATTGCAGATGTGCTTCCAATTGTGAATGCTCCTGGGAATGGACCGATAATAGCCGCACAACACATTTCACGTGGGGCGTTTTCTAGTTGCTGTTGGCAAACGGAACAAACTTGCTTATTAAGCACACTGAGTCCTGACGTTAGGGTAGCGGTGCCAGCGGGGCCGGGTCTCCCTGCAGGGCCCTCTCTCGAAACGTCACGTCGCAAACTGAGCCGCTTGCTGGTTGCTGTGGATGGAGGAGGGGGGGGCGAACTTCCCCACAGCTCCCACTTTGGATAATGCCATCGGACCTTCTGAGATTCAGAACTATTCCAACTGCTTGAATCTTGCCGCTTGTAAATTTTAAAAAAACGTTAGATTTGCATTTGAAAACATGTTCCAGTGTGTTCATGAAGGCAGCTTATGTGTGAGAGCCGTGCTTTTCATTCCACCCAGAATATGTGTTCTCAGTGAGTTCTGGACCTTCTGGTACCGCACTCACACACACACACACACAAACAAGCACAGCGGTCCTGATGTGAAGATTTTGGTAATGTGTTTTTGTACAGGGCATAAAAATATATCTCTGTAATTACATGATATTTAGTGATTAGATAATTACGGATAATTGCATGGGGTAGTTCTAAGTGCTAAAGTGTTACCATAAGATCTAAAATGTACAAATTGCATAATAATTATTCTTAGGGGTTATTTGGTAATTCTGAGCATAATTATCATGTGATCTGCAGTGCATGTAATTAATGCATAATCACATGGATTTTGCCTTCGTAACTACTTCGCCCTTGTTATAAAGCTCTTTGTCATAACATTTGAGTATAAATATAATGTAATTGGCTCCCAGATACAGTACATTAAGCCCCGTGATAATTGCTTTCACAGTAACAATAGCCCTTATTTCACTTCAAACGCGTGGCTCTTAAGCAGCGCGGGGTCACGAAGAACAAGTCGCCAGGGCGTGGAGGCAGAGTGGCGCTGAGTGACGGCCACTAGGCGCGCTTCTGGGTGAGGAATGCCTTTGCTGTGACCAGACCTTTCCAGGTAGAAGAGTTTGCATCTTTGACTTGGAGCCTCTCTTCTAAGGCGGCGCGCGCCCCTGCCCTGCAGCAGCCGGCCCCTGCATATAGCAAAGCACCCACCGCATTTCAGGTGGAGGGGCCGCAGAGGGCTGGAATTTCTGTAAGGAGAAGATCTCGTAATAAACTGCAGTGAGCGGGACCTTGCCCGATGGATGACATTGTGGGAGAACACCTGGAACAGCAGCGGTTACTCAGAGACGGAAACGGGAGCTCTGGCTCAACTTCCATGTCGTTAACGCAGTTCCTGCAACTCTCCCCGCAGGTCTCACGTGGCAGGATGGCTACACCCAGCACGTGATGGCGCGGGAGCTCGCCAGCCTTCCCCAGACCTCCCCGCGACGCCCAGAGGCCTCCGGCACAGCCAGGTAAAGTGGGCTTGGTTTACGGCGCCTCGCCGGCGGCCACGCCGGCATCCACCTGCCCTTTTCCTTGTTTCACGCAGCAAAGGACCCTGTCTTTCTGTGTAGACTTTCCAGGAGGCTGGAACGTGTGTGACGGAGCAGCAGGGACTCCCTCCATGGGGTGCTGGCCCTGCCCAGGGGAAGGTTGTAGGAGCGACCCGCCCACAAGGGGCCGTCCTCACCGGCAGACGTGCCCAAAGGTCCTCCCCGCCTTCCTGAGACCCTCGGAAGCTCTGCATCTTCAGAGCCTTGGTGGAAAGCAGAGGAGTCAGTAATTCTCACTTCCCAGTAAGAATTTATGTCCACTTTAGTACAAAAAGCAAATTAAACCGTGAAAGGCGTGCCGTTCCCTAAGCACGGCAGCCCGTGTGAGCTGGATTCATTCCATCTCGTCCTCTCTGCACACGTGCGGAGGTGCAGACGCCTTGCCCACTCGTGCGGGGGGGACACAGACCCCGGCAGCTGAGGACTCGGCCCACAGACAGAGCGCCGGGTGCGGGCCGCCTCAACCCCGAGCCGGCGTTTATACAGCAGGGAGACAACCTTCCCCCCAGGCTTCACTTGGAAGTCCACTCTTCCCTCAGAGAGTGAGTTTTCTCTGTCCATAGCCTCAGTTAAAATAATCTCAGTGACAGAAACATCAGCCGTCTGCCTTCCTGCCCGTGCTGCGGAGCCGAGGAAGCAGCTAGGCCACCAGGTCCTGCAGGATTAAATGCACCAAATGTGAAAGCACGTTCACCGTGGCGGCTCTCACTGGCCAGACCGTGAGTTTCTTGAGGGTCAGAGCTGTCCTTTGTCTTTCTTGCTGGTATACTGAGCTTTAACAAGGAGAGTGTGCCACTGTAGTCTGTTCTGTAAAAACAAAACACAAAAACCAAAGTCAAGCTATCCTGAATTTCCATTTTCATCTGGGTGAGTTCAGACTCGTCACGCTGGTCTTTCAATGCCATCTGGGCATTTCAGCACCGCCCGCCGCTCCTTCCCTCCTGTTGAAGATGTACCTGAGTGGGGCGCACTGTTCCAGACAGCCCTGACCTCCACTGAGGAGGCCAAAGGGCAGAGGGATAGGAGAACTGGGCAGACCGAGCAGGAACAATTCTTTACGTAGTCTAGACAGTCAGCAAGTACGGCGGAAAGGCCAGACTGTCGTCAGGGAAAGAGCACTTCCAGAGAGAACAGCCCTGAGAAATCAGACACGGTGAGACCATGGACAGACACCTGGGTCACCACGTTCTTACCAGCGTTAATATTGTCATTTAAAGTAATTGTCCATTCGTTATGAAAAATGGTTACTTCGCTTTTTTAGATTACAAGTGAGATTAAAAGTTTACAAGTACACATATGTAGGGATTGGAATTCTCTGTATGGATTTCCTGTGCGTGACCTTTGTCCACATACAAAGTATTTTTTGTATTTTTCTGCATAGTCTTGTTATTTAAGGCTAGTAACTCTTCACGCGCCATACTTTATAGAAGTAGCTTTCCGGTCTGTTCCGTAGATGGCACGAGGTACAGTTGCCAGCAGAAAGGGAGCTCATAGCCCTCTCGAGGTGGGAGTTCTAATTTCTTCCTTGAGGGTGTTAATTCCCTCCCCCCTCGCCCGCTCTGCCCCGGAGAGATGGGCTTCCTGGGCGGCACCAGCAGGTCCTTGGCCTCGGGCTGGGTGGGTTTGGCCGTGGTGCACCCCTGGCTGGGAGGGCGGGAAGGCATCGCACCCACGGCTCTGCCAAGGTCATGGCTGCTTGGACCCCCGCTGTGACCCATTAACTCCTCCCTCCCATAGACCCAGCCTTTCTCCACCGTCAGCCTGTCGGTTCTTTTGGTCCTGCTCTGTCTTTGCGAACAGTTCCTTTATTAAACTGCCGGACGTCCCGTTTGGAGATGCTGTGTGTCTTATGGGGCCTCTGCCTGGTGACAGGAATCCTGGTCACCCACCCTCTTCTTCCTCAGCTTTTGTCAAGGTTACAGGATCGTCATGATACACACGTAATAGTTTTCCTTCTTTTCAAAAACCTTCTGCAAAACTTTCTTTAGTGTTGAAATTGTCTGCTGCCTGGTATATATTTTTAAATGATCTTTCTTTGTAGGTAAATCTCATAACACTTTCATTGTCTTCTGAGATTATTGGTGAAATAGGCCCACAGATTTTACATTTTTGCAGAGAACTATTATCCTTTTCATAGGGATTTCCAAATTTGTTAACTTAGTGTGAGTCACAGTACTGTATTATAATTTAAAAACTCATTCACCATATGTGTAATTATCACACCTTTGCCATTGATTTTTCTCTTTACCCTTTTAACACAATTTTTAAAAATAATTATCTCTTGGACTTTTCTCTTTTCACCATTCCTAGATTTATTGTTTTTATGAAACTTTCTGAGCTGAAAGTTTTGTTCCTAATTTTATTTATTCATTGTTAAAAAAGCAGTGAAATCACTTAAGGCTATGCATTCGCCTATGAGCGTGGTTTTGGCATCATCCTGTAATGTTGATGGGCTCATTTGCTTTTGTTCTAAATTATCTGTAATTGTAATTTTATATCCTTTGGGAGCAGTAAGTGTAGGCTCTTTCCTTTGTTCATATTTATGTGCTCTTTAGACTTTAAATCAGTGTCTAGTTTTATTGCATTTTAGTTAGAGAATGTGACATGTTCAGTTTTTACTTTTTAGAAATTTGGGGTTCTCTTTGTGGCCTAGTTTATACCACACTTTTATTAATTTTCAACGGATACTTCAAAAAACTATTGTATCGGGCTTCCCTGGTGGCACAGTGGTTGAGAGTCTGCCTGCTGATGCAGGGGACACAGGTTCGTGCCCCGGTCCGGGAAGATCCCACAGGCCGCAGAGCGGCTGGGCCCGTGAGCCATGGCTGCTGAGCCTGCGCGTCCGGAGCCTGTGCTCCGCAACGGGAGAGGCCACAACAGTGAGAGGCCCGCGTAAAATAAAACAAAAAAACAAAAAAAAAACTATTGTATCCACTATTTACAGTGTACGGATTTTTATATATAGTTTATAATCATATATAAAATTTATAATTACATATAAATATAAATTATATTACTCAAAATCAAATATCCTTATTTATATTTTTATTTATTGAAATTTCTCAGACAAAAACTATTTCCATAAATTTTCCTTCCATTTTTAACATATTTTGCTTTACACACTTTGGGTTCTGACGTTCAGCCCATACGCACTCACAGCGTTTCTCCTTCACGGTGGATCATCACACCTGCTGCCGTTTTTAAATGGAGACTTCATCATCTTTAGTGCTTTTTGTCTTGATCCCACTTTTCTAAAATCGGTATTACCATTCCTGTGTTGTCTCTGTTTTGCCGTCTAATTAATCCTTTAAAATTCTCCCCTTTGGAGCCTCTTACTTTGCATGCAGCATTTATAAATGACATCAGGTGGCATTTTTTACAGCCCCTCTGGCCAGAGACCCCTGATCTCTCTGCTTTCTTTCTTTCCCTCTCTGGCCTGTGACTGGTTTACTTTCATCATCTTTAGTGTTTGTAACTATGTATCTTACTTCAAATTTGGTCCGTGGCCATCACCTTTAGGCTTTCCAGGCAGTTTTTGAAGTGACAGGTCTGAGTCACTATTAATGGAGGAATCCCACCTTTGGACCCCCCACCCCCTTCCCAGCGCATCCCTGGCGCCTGGCACGTGCCATGTACAGGTGGGTGTCCAGCCCAGAGCTGTTGACTAAAGAAGGAAGGAAGGCATGAAGGGTCTTGTGACTTTTGTTTATTACCTGGGTAACCACACCGACCAAGAATCCTGCCTGACCTTCATTCCACAGGGTACTTCCAGAGCTTTCTGTACCCTGTAGATGTGTGAATATCCACAGTCAGCAATCTTGTGACAGGACAGGTGACCTTAAAAGAGATGAAGGAACTGGCCCCAAACCAGTGACACGTTCAGGAGGTAGCAGTAAGCTCAGAGTGTGGTGTCAGGACGCCCAGCCCCAGTCTTGCGGGGAGCAGAGCAAGCCTGCCTGAGAGCCTGGAAGAGGCAAAGCCGTGTCGTGGATGCTGCGTGAGGGACAGACGCCGGGAGCCTGGGGACACCCTCTGCTGAGGCCCCTGATGGCCAGAACAGATGGGGGTGGGGTGGGCAGCAATGTTATCGAGGACTTGACTGAGCCGTGAATTCTGTTTACATGAAAAATAAAATGGCACCGAAATGATCATTAGACAAGGTTGGGATTATGGAGAAAGGAGTGAGAACCAGGTCACTGTGTGCTCTTTGCAAAGATTCTGTTTATAATTCGGATTTTTTTTTTCCTGAGCACATTGGGTGACAGCTTAAAGCATCCCATGTTATTGGAGCCTGAAGGTCAGTGCAAGGAAGTGGGAAAGGGACCAGTGGAGACCGGCGTGTAGGGACTACATTCTTAGTATTTTGAGGGAGAAAATGTACACTTAGAAAGTTTTGACCTACTTCAAGCCGAACGACAGGGCAAAAGTCAGTCTGAGAGCTAACTGCCACAGTGTCGCACACACAGAGATGGACGCTCTCTTCGCTGCTGTGACGTATTACAGTGTCACAAACGGTCCTCCAGCAGCGGACACGCAGGGAAGATGAATAAGACAATTTCAAGACACATTTGTGAGGTGGTTCTATCTGCATTGATTAGCAATTAGTGAGAAAAATAGATAAAGTACCAGAAAAGTAAATTGACTTCAGTTAAATTACACACAGAACATGAAATTTCATCCATTAAAAAATGGTCAAGGAAGCCGTAGCCGTGATTTGAGATGCAAAGAACCGTGCAGCCCCTGATCATTTATATGCCTATTAAGTCCGAGCCAGTGTGACTTGAAAAGGGCATCAGAAGTAAAAACAGGACAGTTTTATCAATCGCAATAATTAAACACAAATGTGAAGATTTTCTGTAAGTCCCAGCTTTTATGAAATACGTACAGATATCAAACCCCTAACATTCTTGAAAATGAGACTTTCTACATGGAAACACTAGCCGGGAGCCTGTTCTCCGTTACTCCAAGTGGGAAATCTACAAAGAGGTACACACCCGCCTAAAACCCCAGTACCTTCCCTAAATCACAGTAAAGACCCACATATAAGGAACAGATTGTCATATTTGGATATAAAATACTTAAAACATTGTTTCCTGGTCCCTGAAAGTGGGTATGGTTGTTAGCAAACAGGCACTTTATTTGTAGTAACACAGCCTCACCCAACATCTGCAACACACATAGGCTCACACGACACACACACAGCACACACACACAGATACACACGGCACACACACGACACACACACACAGGTAAATACAGGTACACACCCAGGCACATACAGACACACAGACACACACAGATACACACGGACACACACAGATACACACGACACACACACACAGGTAAATACAGATACACACCCAGGCACACACAGATACACACGGACACACACACAGGTAAATACAGATACACACCCAGGCACATACACATACACAGACATGCAGACATGCACGGACACACACAGAGACGTACACAGACGTACCCTCATAGACACGCCTGCAGGCATGCACGCGTGGTGACCCCACCCTCGGCCACTGCAGATGCCTCGTTGCCATCAGGATGGAGGTCACTTCCGTCACAGAGCACCGTTCTCACTGTTGGACTGCGGCAGAGTGCCCGGGTCAGCCTGGGAGACAGGACGGTGTCCTGGACCTGAAGAGGCCATGGATGTCCCGTCCCCATGAGGAGTGGGTGTGGCCGGGGCCGCTGACCCTATAGATCCCCAACTGCGAAGAAGCCCGGTTTTATTTGTCTGGTTTCTGGGCGCAACCAGAGCTGGCCTCGCCACGTGACCCAGTGATGCGCCGGGGCTCGGTCCCCTCAGCTGGACGATGGGGCGATGATTCTTCGTCCTCAGGTTGTTGTCTGAGACGACACCAGGCTGGCGGGGCAGCAGACCCAAGCCCATCGGGATCCTGACCTGGGGCACCCAGGGAGCTTGTCTCGCTTGGGTCCTGAGCTGCGCGGGACACGGGCTCTGGTGTGCAGTGGAGTAGAGGCCGGGCAGCCGCAGTAACAGAGGTTCCGGAGCCCTGAGGCTCCCGGGCCCGGGGCTGGTGCACATCTTCTGAGGTGACCTGGGCAGGCCGGGTGGCCCCCTCCGGGCACAGGCCGTGGGCTGTATCCTGGCTACAGCGAGAGGCAGCGGCCAAACAGCGAGCCAGCCCTGCTGTGCTGGATGCGGCCCTGCTTTCAGCTCCCAGGCTGTGGGTAGCCGCAGGCTGCACGCGTCCTCTGTCCCTCTGCCCACGCTTATGGCCTTTCCATCCCCACCTACCCCACCCCATCCAGGCCAGGGAGCCGCAGGACGTCCACTTCTGCACGTAAGAACACCTCCTTTTCTACAATTAACATGGCTTTTATCACATTTGGTACATTTGTAAATAAAAATGAAGATCAAAAGCTATGTCTCTCCAAATACAAAGTCAGAGAAAAATGGGAATAAATGAAGAAAACAGCGAATGCGTCCTTGTCCTTCCCACGTGCCGAAACCACACATGAACGGCGTGTGAGCTCTGCCTCTTTTGGTGGTCTGGGATATTCTTGTTCACATCTAGGGCACTTGCGGTGGTTATAGAAAATAAGACAAACTTAAAGCCCCATATTTACTTACATGAAGATCAAATGAGTTTAGTAGGTGAGGAAACCCCACGTACATTGTATGTAAACATCAGGGAGCACTTGTGTGCAGTTATCTATGATTCACAAGTCACCGCACGTTTACTGAGCCCCGGCACAGAGCAGAGCTTGAGATCGTGTGTGGTCCAGCTCTTTCCCCACAAACAGTGTCTGTGGTTGTCAAAGAGTTTGACGGGGACTGAGTACTGTGTTTTATATAATTTAAAAAGTGCATTTTCTTAAAAGAAAAAGAAAACAAGACATGTTTTTTCCAAGTAAGTCCATAATCTGCATCACTGCCATTCACCACAATAATCAGTTTGTTTTCTGAAGTTCACTCCCAGTGATAAACGATCTTAGTCACAGAGACGCTTTTCCTAACGCTGGAAAAGTGCCATCTGAGAGGTCAGCGGTGGGAAAGGCTACAGCTGTAAAGCTGACTCGGCGTCACCCCAGAGCCTGCCAGGTGTTTCCAGGCTTGTTCTTTCGGTGGACGCTGTTCTCAGTGCCGACGGTGACTTGGTCTCCGTGCAGATTCTGGGCAGAGCAATGCACAAGAGAAACCCCCAAGAACAAGGTCCCTTCTTCCAAGCAGCCTGTCAGGATCGCTTCCTGCCTTTTGCGGTCCTCGCGCTCATCCTTCACAGCTGGAGGTCTTTCTCATGACATCACTCTGACACCAGCCCACTACCCTCTCTTCCTCTTTTAAGGGCCACAAGGTCACACTGGGGTACCGGGAGGGCCCCCCACCTTAGGGTCAGCTGAGTAGCAAGCTGATGCCACCCGCTCTGCCCCCCGCTGCGCCATGCCACGGAACCCCACGCGGTCACAGCTTCCAGGAGTCGGGATGTGCTGTCGTGAGCACGACCCCCTCACGCAGTGTGCCCCTACCCCATTCCTCTGCACATGGGGGACGCTGGCTGAGATGGTGGGGTCCCAGAGCAAGTGGATGGTAGGACCAGGGCTCTCCAGTTGCCCCTCCCCACACTGAGGAAACCTCTCTGCCACTCAGGTTCTTGTTGGGCTTGAGTAAGTGCTAGCTGTTTCCCACATTCTAGTTTGTCTTCTGTCCCCGGTGGTCGGGGGTGCTTCTTAAGAACATACTCTAGGGCTGGCCCTCTTCTCAGGGTCACTCACCAAGTCCGCACAGTGTCCAGCCGCCAGGCTCAGGGGGCGCATGAAAGTTTCCAGCTGCAGTTGGTGAGAGCAGCGGGGGCCGGGCTCTCGCCACCTGGCCTGACGCCCGGGTCCCCACGTGGTCCCTGCGGCCACCCTCCCTCGCTGTGGCAGCGTCTGTCAGCGGAATCAACGCCACGCCCCGTGGACTGGCTCACGCTTTCCTTTTGCTTTGCAGGAGCTCAAAGCAGAGTGTCCAGGACAAGCGGAGCCTCAGCCTCGAGGGCGACGTGCTGGCCGAGGCCCTTCAGCGCTACCTGCCCTACCTGGAGGCCCTGTCCCAGGCCGCCATCCCTGATGTGTTCCCCGGGCTGAAGCCGGACAGGCCGCCGGCCCAGGTGACCCTCAGAGCCCCTCTCTGGTCTGGGGTGTGTCTGCCCCTGCTGGAGGCTTCCTCCGGGCACACACAGGGAACGTTTCCTATGGCTGTGGCATCGCTGGGCTTTTCTCCTGTGTCTCGGGCTAGCGGGGGGGCCGGGGAGAGACAGGGTGCGTCTCCACCCTTTCGGGAGGACCTGCGCTTACCACCTGGACCCGGGACCCAGCTGCGGGGTCCACTGTGAGGCAGGACAGCAGGAAGTCGGTGGGCACAGGGTGAGCAGCCATCCTGGTTGCCCGAGACTGTCCTGGTGTCGGCACTGAGGTCCTGTGTCCCAGGGCGGTTCTCCTTACGCAACCTGCCCTCGGGGGCGCCCTGCGTGCGGCAGCTGTCAGGTTCTCAGTGCAGGTTCATTCTGTACCAAGGCCAGTCTGCTCTAGAGCCATTCCAGGACTCGAAGCCCATTGAAAAGAACAGTTTATAGAAATGATGAGAAATCTCATAACTTTCTAGATGGGAAAGTATGCATGATTTTATGACAACCGGTTAAACCAGAGTTGCCAGCTTTTGACTAGCCTAGAAGAGACGGGTCTAGAAGTGGTGTCCAGGGCCAGAGGCCCTCATGCATCTTGAGGGTGGACTTGGGGAAAGCATGGAAGTCCAGGTGCTCTGGGCACGTGGGGTGTTCGGCAGCCACATTCACGCTTCTTTCTGTGGAAGGTTATTTCCGCCAATGGAATTTGACCCATTTTAAGCCTGATGCCGTGCTGGAAGATGGATGAAAGCCCGGGACGCTTTGCTCCCCTCACACCCCCCAGATTCATCCCAAGGCGGCAAGGCCCTGGGACACTGGGGGAGCGATTTGGGCCACGCCTTCACTCGCTCTCCTGTCACTTCAGCCAGCTCTGGGCTGGATGTTGGGCGGCACACATGTGGTGGCCGTGCGGGGTGGCTGAGCTCGGTTAGCTCCCTGGACCAAGAGTGGCCTGAAGCCAGCTGGAGGGGCCTGAGTGGGCCCCTGACTCCGCCACGCTCGCCTGCTGTCCACGCCTGCGAGACGCAGGAATTAGGAATAAGCTGCAGCGACTGTAGGGACTTGTTGACGGTGGGGTCTTTGAGCCTCCGGGAGGTGCAGTGGTGACGCAGGTGAGCAGCCGACACGGCTCCGGGGGCAGATGTGCTGCTCTTCCGCTTGCACTCAGGCCCTCACATGGATCCGGGGAACTTAGCGCAGAGCCCTTCCAGCCCTGACTTGTGCACACGGTGGGCCCAGCCCTGTGCGTGTTCTCCAGGCGCCTTCCCCACTGGAGGAGAAAGGTGACTGCTGTCTTTGCCAGGACCGTGCATTCCTCCCGGAGCTGTACCCTCGGCACTGGGCTGCCTCGGACAGGAGTGATCACATCCCGACCTGCCCTCCCTTCTAGGAAACATTGATGGGGAAACAAAATGGCTGTCCCTGGTCTTGTCCAGCGTTCCGTCAGCAACGGAAACCGCCCATCAAGTTTGCCCTCCGTAATCTTTAAAACTCCCGCCCAGTGGAATGACCACACCTCGTGGTCCGGCTGGACCGTGCCGGTTTGTGCCTGCTGCCCCATCAAAATTACCAACAAGCCCCTTTTCCCTCTCAGAAATGTCCAGTTTGAATGATGAATTCTGTGGTCATCTCACCACACAGCTGTTTCAGCATGGCAGTCACAAGGATTATTCGAAAATGAGCACTTGGTGGCATTTTGGCTCAGGTATTTTTATCCTATGTTAAGATGGATGCTTCTCAATATTTAAAAATGCATGAAAACCTGGAACTCATTATTTTCTCTGTCCAGGGTTTAAATGAGGAGAAAGCTCTTCATCATCATCCCTGTAATAAACTGAGACAGTCTTCGTGCAGACTTTTGCCAGGGATTTGGGCAGTGTTTTCTGATCCCCTCCGCTCTTGGTTGATGAAGTATTTCAGTTGGAAATGTAAGCTTTCTACACTGATGATCTTTCAAGGTGCAACCAATTTGCAATGAATTATTTTATGAATCATCTTTTCTATGTATGTGTCATCAAAAATCTAGCTGTCATAGACAGAGAAATGCTGTGAACTTATCATCTTTAGAGGTTTAGTACTAATTACTTCCTGAAAGAAGCCAGAGGGAGTAAAATCACACTCCTCTTAGAACCGCCCAGCCCCAAGCCCTGATGCACAGTTGTGCTCTTATCATCACCAAATCAATGCAGTTACTGCTTCTGCATTGTTAGTGGTGGAAACCAGCTCCCACTTTTATCAACCACAGTAGGGCTGGTTCATTACAGAAAACATTGTAGGTCCCAGTTTATTCTATGCTTTGGAGAAGGTTTAAACCGAAATTCATCATTTGGAAATACCATGAATTAACCGATTTATTTGTAATCCTTGTTTTACGCATTTTTATTGTGCAAGAAACTGTGCTAGGTGCTGGGATTTTACATTCCTGCCCTCTAGGATTTTACAATCTCACTGAATGAGGGAGACACAAAGATACATTTAAAAGCAGAGCAGGTGCTGTAATGGAGGGAAGGCTGAACTTGAACCAGGTGGGCACGTGGGGTCAAGGGCTTCCCAGGGGCTGGGCGTTGGAAGAACAACCAGAAGTCGGCAGTTGAAGATGCTCAGATGAGCTCAAAGTGCAGCATGTCAAGAGGTCCCCCCGGTCTACCGCGACAGCAGGAATAAGCCAAGGGAGCTAGTAAACCATAGCCTTCAAAGACAAAAACAAAACCCAGAAAGCTAGGATACAAAGAAACCTGAATGAACTAAATTCAGAAAGGGATGAGCTCATTCTCGGGGAGAGAAGACCACCGCTGCTTTCCCACAGGCAGGAACCACGGCGGGGAGAGGAAGAAGGCGGCCTAGGGTTTAAGGACTGTTGGCAGCGGAGCCTGGCGTGAGGGTAGAGCCCAGAGGCAGGCTGCACAGAGCACTGAGTGCTGGAGATAGGACACTGGAGGGTGGGAGAGGGGGACAAGGACTGAGAGATGTCCTTCCAAGGAACTCCGGGCCTTTCTGAGCACACCTCAGCCCTCCGAAGGGTTGGGATGAGGCTGCATGGTGGAGAAAGGTCTGTGAATAGCATGCAGAAAGCCAGGAAAAGAAGTCTTCAGCGACTCACAACGGTACTGGGCTGTGAATCAGAGAGAGCTCCCCTGGTTCAGAAAACCGGCAGCTGTCTGCAGAGCATGAAGCGATCCTCAGGGTTGCGCTGGGGCTTGGATCTGAGCCCTTCTGAAGAAAGGGCCCCAGTCCTGCCCTCAACATCACTGTAGTCAGTAGTGACTGAATCTGACCGCCTCTGCGACAGAATCCACACCAACGTCAATGACAGATTTCATGGACTCAGCTGCCACATCAGCAGGCTGAGCAAAGAAGGGACCCTCCGCTTCCTAGGGTTAAATATCGTTTACTTCATCCTTCTTTACTCTTAAACAAAATTTCCAGCGTACAGTAACAAAGTGGGAGACACATGAAGGAACAAGAAGATGTCGCTCTTGGTCAAGAGAGTAAAGAGTCGATAGGAGAAGATCCAGGTATGACTCATTTGTTGGGATTATTGGAAAAGGATATCTTAATAATTAGGATAAATACGTTAAAGGATTGAGTGGGAAAGGTGGAAAAGCATAAACGAACAAGTGGAAAATTGTAGCAGAGAGATGGAAAGAGTAAAAAAGAACCAAATGGAAATGCTACAAATTAAAGTAATAAGATCAGAAGTAAAGAATTCATTTGAGGAGCTTAATGATAGACTAGAGAGAGTAGAGGGAAGAATCAGTGAATTTCAAGTCAGCTCAATAGAAATGATCAAAAATGAAACAAAAAGAACATTGTAGGGCTTCCCTGGTGGCGCAGTGGTTAAGAATCTGCCTGCCAATGCAGGGGACACGGGTTCAAGCTCTGGCCCGGGAAGATCCCACATGCTGCGGAGCAACTAAGCCCATGTGCCACAACTACTGAGCCTGCGCTCTAGAGCCCTGAGCCACAACTACTGAGCCTGTGCACCACAACTACTGAAACCCGCGCACCTAGAGCCCGTGCTCCGCAACAAGAGAAGCCACTGCAATGAGAAGCCTGCACACTGCAACAAAGAGTAGCCCCCACTCGCCGCAGCTATAGAAAGCCTGCATGCAGCAACAAAGACCCAACGCAGTCAAAAATAAAAAAATAAATTTATTTTAAAAAAGATTATATTTTAAAAAAGAGTGCAAAATGGAACAAAACATCCAGGATACATGGTGCAATTTCAAATAACTCTAACACAAGTATAATTGGAATCCTAGAAGGGAAAGAGAAAGAGAATGAGGCAGAAGAAATATTTAAAGAAATAATGGCTGGGGCTTTTCCAAAATTGACAAAACATCAAAACATAGATCCAAGAAGCTTAGTGAACCTCAAGCAAGATAAATACAAATCTAGGCATATCATAATCAAATCGGGGGAAAACCAAAGATAAAGAGGAAATCTTAAAGGTATCCTCAGGGGAAAAAGACCCCTTACATCTAGGGGAATGATTATAAGAATGAAGTCTTACTTCTCATTAGGAGACCATAAAACAATGGAAGAACATCTTTAAAGTACTGAAAAGGAAAAAATGACCAAACAAATCCTGTCAATTTAGACTTTTATATTGTTCAAAACTGTAGGTGAAACAGGAAGAATCTGTGTCTGGAAGACTCATACTCCAGAAATGCTAAAGGAAGTTCTTTAGCTTAAAGAAAAATGATATCATATAGAAGCCAATATCTACAAAGGGGATGAAAAGAACCAGAAATGGTAAATTTGCAAGTAAATATAAAAGATACACACACATAACATATATGAATTTTTGGATAAAAGCTATTGGATATTTGAAGCAAAATAATAAAAATGTATTTGTGGGGTTTTTAGCTTACGTGGAAGAAAACTACATCACAACAGGACCACAAAGAGTAGGTAGGAACACTAATTATACTGTTGTAACTTTTTGTTGATTTGTGAAGTTCTGTGATATTATTTGAAGGTAG